AAACGAGCATTCTGTATATTCTTACGACATTCCCAGCAAAGGCATGCTTTTCTGACTAAAACTACACACAATGTAGTCAAACAGGGAGAAGTTCAACTTCAACAGGTTGGTAACATCACACCAGTACTCTTTCACAAAACTACAATATACATAATAAATATGCATTTTATATATGCACAATACACATTGACCTGCTAGAAAGCTGAATAGCTTTCTTGGGGATTTCTGGGATTTTCACTGAGGCCATACTCATTGTTGCTCCCTGAACTGAAGTGGTGGTGTAGCTAGAAAAGGGATTTGTAATCGTATCTGATTAAGGAATTAAAAATAAGTATGAAGGCATGTGAGGCAAGCAGAAGGAAAAGGAAGAAAAGGGGAAAAAAACCTATTTATAGACATATTGTAAAATTGTGATGCTAATGATAATAATTAAACCACTGGAGAATAACAACCTCTTTTCTCTCTACCTCATTTTGCGTTAACAGATGTATAAACAGTAGAAGTTAAATATTAAAAGCTCGTAGTTATCCACAAAGTATTAAAAAAATTCCATGTTGGTGTCGTTTGGAAGGAGCGAAACAAATGTCATGAATTTTAGCTACCATATGCCAGGGAACAAATCATCATGAAAGTGCTTTGGATAAATTGGATTCCTGCCCATCCATAGATGGACATTTAGGGAAAAATTAAATTTAAAAAATCAGGTCTAGCTGAACACAAAACTCCCTCTGACTATCCCTTATCTATTTCCACACAATTGCTTTTTGTGCTTAGCATCTGCAGTTTCATAGTTTAGCTATCATAAAGTTTTACAAGACAAAAATCTTATAAAGACAAAAGGTGATGTATATTTCCACCAACATGCATGTTTATACAGAGAAATTTATATAATACTGCATGATGTTCAATATATGAACAAATGCTCTGGTAAATTTCATTAGGCCCTTAATTTGACAAGAAAAAAGGATGAAAGACTCCAACAACATGGTTGAAAGAATAATTCTGGAAATGAAAAGGCACCAGACCCACAGATTTCACACCCTGACTGATAGCCTGGACGCTGGCTACTAATTTAGTAATAAAAATGGAGCATCTAAATCTGTATAAGTAATAATTCTGCCATCTCAAAAACAAATAAATTGAACTGAGAGGAAATAAGTTGCCTGGGACAATTGCTTCAGTTTTATGATGAAGAGCAAAATTTAACTATTCTTTTAATTAAGATCTAGGTGTAAAGCTTCCCCATACATGATTGAACGTACTTAATATTTTTGGAGACCAGAACACTTCCTTGATTGGATGCCAGTCTTTCTTAATATATATCAGATTAAAATGCCAGCATAATTTTCCTGTCTCTGACCTTTTCCAAAGGTCATGAATAGTCTAAAAATCATTTTACACTATATGAAGACTTCAGTATTTTTCTTTGCAGAAGAGAGGAAAAAAAAATTCCACTGGGGAGTCTTCATTTTGAACCTTGAAATATTTCTTCTGTGGGAAGTTAAAGGTAATATTACAGTTTGGATGCATTTGTGTCTTGGTTTTAAGCTCTTTCAGTACACAAGAACAACTGTTTTACTTTGTAAATTTCGGCCATTATTACTCCAATGTGGAATGCTGTTATCTGTGTCTTATTCTGTTTAAGCAGATCAGAAAAAAATGCTGGAGCACCGGATAAAACTGTCACCAGTCTTCCCTTCCATGGTGCATTGGTGGTGTGACACTGATCACAAATTCACACTTGCCTGTCCACCTGTAGCAAAATACCCTTTTTTTCCATTTAATCGGCCATTAACCTTCCAGCTGTGACTCACTTGCAGTGCAGCACAAAGAAACCGAACATGTTGACCCTCTGCTTCTGGGTTGCTCTTTACAGAACGCCGAGGAGAAACGCAAGGGAATCCAGCAGCCTTCAGATTTGAAACCTTACACTGTCAAAATTCATTTACGTAACTTCCTTGGAAAAAGAACAAGGTATTTTCAGATAGAGGCTGTTACTTGGTCATGAAAGCTGCTGTGGCCCACATAAAATTCCATGGCAGGAATCCACCTGTGGTGAGAAACAGAATAATTGCAAGAGCTTTTTCTGGAGTTACAGTACTTGTTGCAACACCATACCAGAGGCATGGTATGTTAGGCCCTCCACTCGAGGAACAGCTAATTAAATGTGTCATACTTAATATGTCACATTCTAACAAACAAAAGGATCTAAGACCAAAATGCTCTTCAAGATGCCAGAAGTAAACATGCCAGCTCCTGAAGTGTCCAGCAGCTTACAAGGAAAATATATTCTCTGAGAAAAAAAAAGGTGACTTTTCACTGCTAATCCCTTGTTTGGATAGTGTGATATCATCTCTAAAATTTTTCAGGGACCTGACATTTCTATCCTCCCTCCTCCTGCTCTGCAGGCAGTTGGACTGAAATCTGAGGCTAATGGCTTTTTAATCCTTTCAAGAGTTCCTTGCATCGAGCCAGTATTAAAATGTTAACTTTTGCAGCATCCCTAGCAATGCCAGAATTAGATTCTGGCAGCTGACATACCTGAGACAGCGTGTTATTCATGATAATTACTCCTCCTTCCCAATTTGTACTGGTCCACAAAACATTTCTGCGCTGCAGTTTAACCAAGCTTGCAGGCATGTTTTGAAAACTTCCTTCCTGAATCTATGGATCTGCTCTCCAACCCCATCCACTTCATCTTAACCTGATGTGATCAGGAGCAGCTCTTTCAAAGCAAATCTTTGTCTTATCTGAATTGTACCTCACGTGCAGGACATGTACAGTATTGTCAGACTGTTCCTTCTCAATTCATGTGTACCTGCACGTTTCAGGTGTGCAAATAATGTTTAGCTTTGACCAGGAATGCAAAGGTTTCAGTCAGGTATTTCCCTGGAATTTGCCAAGCCCCTTTCTCTGCCTAGGTACAAAGTCCTGAACTTCATTTGGGACTATTATTCTTTTTTCACAGCAACTTCCCAGACCTTCCCCACTGCAGTGCCTGGACCAGGATGGAAACTGGGTTTGCACTGACTCATTTTGCACTGAAAGTTTTCAGGAGGGAAAGGTTCCAGCTCGCCTCATGGCAGAGTCTGAGTAAAAGATGGGAAGAGGAATAATAGCATAAAGACCTCTCAGGGTTGGGTTCTTTCCTTTCCTCAGTTGTACAGTTCCACTTCAAAAAAACCCAAAATAATAAAACAAAAAATACTATCCGAGCCTGGTAAGAGCTGTTTACACCTTTAGAGCCTGCCCTGCTTTGGGGACAATGGCACCCTTGGCACCAGTAATCACCAGGCACAGGGACTCTTAAGTACCTGGAACAAACCATATGTCAAACTACCCACTCAAAACTCAATCTCTTTCATGTAAAACCATCTACTTTCTGAAACAATTAAATGTGCCTGTTTAAAATATGACTAAAAAAAATATGCCCATTTACTCAGTGTCTCAGGGTCTTTTCCAGCTCTAACAGTGTTTGTTTTGTCTGTGTTTTTTGGTGCTTTGAAAAGCTTAAATTGTTCTTTCCCAATTGCACTTTGATTTGCTGAGCAAAATTCATTTCAGACTTATTTTTAAAGATTGTTTTTTGGTTTTGTTTTGGTTTTTTTGTGTGTGTGTGTTTTTTTTTCCCTACATTGATTCTTTTGAAGCTTTTTGAATTCAGCAAACATCGCAACAAAAAAATTATTTCCCTACCAAAATCTCTCTTCTAATTAATGCACAGTTGGCTGTTTGGGTTTTCTGTAAACTAATACAGAATCCTTGCGTTGTGATATTCAAGGTCAGAAAAAGCTGTAAATTTTAAACTTGTATCATTCTTTGTTTACAGGCACAAAGTAGTTGCTGTCAAAATATCTCTTTCAGATATTTGAACTGTAAGGAGTTGCTGCCCGGATTTCAGAATTAAAATTTTTCTCTCTCCCCTTTGAATGTACTAAAATTCAGACATGCATTTGTACTTACATTTCCCAGCTGATGGCATATGAAGTGTTCACTTGGGTTGTTTGAGAGGATTCAAAACTAGGGGTTAAAAAAAAAAGAAAAGACAAAATTTTGAGTAAGTAGAAGATTAAGTTAGTAATTCAAGTTTCATAGTGATGGACCTAAAAGGAGCACAATATAATGGGACAGTAGAATTTTTTTTTTTTTTGCTGTCTCACATGAAAACTTCACTTAAGTGATATAGGAAAGAAGTCTAAAAAGCAAGTAGAGAATGGTTAAAAATACTTTAAACATTCAGTGTAAACCGTTTCCATTAATTTCCTCAGAAACAGCAAGTGACAGAAATACTCTATATACATGAACTGGGCCACATCCTTACACATCCCAGAAGTGGCTTCTTCAGCTCAGGAATTTCAGCTTGAGAGTGACTTCCCTAATTGGTGTCACCCGCCCTGTTTTTCTTGACAGCCCCTTCAGGATCGATTCAGCCTTTCCTTCTTTAATGGAAAGTGACTTCCCAGATCCAGCCTCCCCCTGGTGAGCTGCTTCCTTCAGTCCTAACC